CTTATTAACTGGACATGACCTACAGGTCATTAGCAAAATAAAGACTGAAGCACCTACACACCTATTTATCCATTTCTTTCATAGAGTTTATGAGTGAGCTTCACACTTAGAATGTTAAAGTGAATTATGGCTAAATAATTGCATTTCTTATGCCTCTAGATTTACAAAAATACAAACACAAAACCAGAAACAGACAAACACAACAAAATTAAGATACAGTGAGCTCAAGATCACCATGGTCCCTGCCTATTATTGCTGGTTTGTTCACTATCAGCAATCACAGTTCTGGATTCCACATGTAGCCAGTTGAAAGGAGTTCAGAGTATTTGCCTCTGGAAGAAGTATGTTGCAATTGTAGAAATTTCCTTGCAGAAAATTCCATCTTTATTTCCAATCTATAACAAATCAAAATACTTTACTTTCACAAATGAAATTTTCAAATGCTTCATAAATATGTCATAATAAATTTAACAATTATAGCTATTGGATACTGAAAGAATTAATATGACTTTTCATTTACATTCCATAAGTGATCTCAAATTTTCCTTAGGTTACCTGTTTCTGGGTAGGCTTTTGCATCTCATTCCAGATTTTCTGTGACCTAGGTGAGGAACTAAAGATCTCGTGGTATTTATGCCTTTGCCAAGTCTGGTTTTATTTATTTTCTGTGATGAACAGATCTGCAAGTACACTGGGCTTTTTCCAGAAACTCGGTAGCCTTTTCATAAAATAGTGATTTACTTTTTGAAATGGCTAATTGCCACATCTTCACTGATGTGTATGAACAGCTTCAAACTTATAAATTCTCTTTTGGTGCCTCTAATTTCTTATTAACAACAGTCAGAAGTCATTTCACACACCACTTAAGCCTTCCCTCATAGCAATATCCCTACTAGATACATGACTGATGTACAATTTGAAATCCCAAACATTTCTCCCTCTTCTCAAATTCCTTCTTTGACAATGGGAATATAACTCTCTTAGAAGTAAAGTTCAAGTGAGTTATTACTTGTTCCTGATCTAAAGCACCTACAAAAAACTACATTGCTTCAATATCCCAAAGGCAAACTAAGATAAAGGATTCAAAATTATATATATCATACACAGGACATCAGTCCAAGCACAGGCAGAGATTCATCAGCTATGTCCCTCAAACAGAATTAAAAAATTGCATAGATATTTTCCAATGAGGAAACATTCCTGTACAAAACAAAGTAATCTCTTGCTAGTTTGGGAACATTAACTAATTAGCACAGGATACAGGAAACAATGAGAAAATGTAATTTTTAACTATAAGATGGATCAATGTTTTTGGAGAAATGCTACAAGTATTAGATCATATTGCCAGGTATATACTACTCAAGCAAATACAATATTCCCACAGACCCAACATTTATTGTATATTTACATATGACAGTTTATTTTTAATGAGTGTTCCTCTCTCAAGCAGCAAAAGGTACTAGCCATATCCATAGATATTTATTTTGTCAAATTAATCCAGAAAATTATTTAATCTGTCAATTTTATCATAATGTTAGTAAGATACTGACAATTTAAAAAAAGAAAAATAATTGAAGATTATTTTATTATAAAATACTCTGTTCTTCCAATGTCAAAATATTTTTGGAAATAGTATTCATAGTCATAAATTAAAGAGGCAACTGTAACTAATCAGAGGGGCCAAAAGTGCTCGTATTTCATTGATGTATGTATGAGATTTTAAAAATACTTCTTTTTTGGGAACTGTGTATATTTAACAAAAAAATCATAAAGAGTATGCTTCAAATTTATAAGTACATGGTTCACAAGAACTCTGCAGTACACTGTCTTGGAAATTAGGAGTTCTTGGCATCCAAACCGTTCCCGAATAGGTATCATATACATTGTATATTATGCAGGTCCTAGCACAACAGATCCTTGATGCAGCCATTTGAGGTCTCTGGCAGTCCTAAGACATGCAGTTAAGTACAAATCACTAGAGAAAAGCTGTTCTTCCTGTACTAGATGCAGTCAGATTCAATTTTACTGCCTCTGCCGTGGAAGGACAATAGAAGGACCCATAAGATGCCAAGACTGAGGTTCATTGTCTTCTGTTGAAGAATAATTTTTCAGATCAGTTGTCCACGCTTTAGGCTGGTTTTTCTGTAAGCTTAGCAGATATTTTTTAATCCATTTTCTTCCACAATTCTCTAACACATAATTTTCAGAGTGGTTTATGATATTCTACTAGAATTGCAATTTACAACACAGCGTTCAGGACTCGTGAGGATGTCATGATTTACTATTAATCATAGTAAAATTGCCCTCTGACCAAATGACTTGAATAGTATTATTTAAATTTCTGTGCTAACGTGTTCTGATGAGCACTACAAAACTTTCATTCTGCTCTCCTATAAATGGAGTTTGAATATTTCTAAGTTTATTGTAAGTTATAACAATAATTTTCAATGTTTTCTGATACCATTACTTTTTAAGTAAGGGCAAACTTTGAAAAACAATGTCTGTGTACAGAGGAATTTATTAGATTGCTTACTATCAGTGTAAGAGGAAGAAGGGAGAAAGGGATAAAATTTTACAAGTGATTTCATAAGGAGAGAAGATAGTGTATTTTCTGCCCCAGGCTGAAATATTTTGATAAAATTAACAAGTGAAAGCCTTACAGGTCGCCACCACTGTTTAGAACTTTGATCAGTGATTTTTGCAGGTTTTTTTGCAAACCACTCATTTCCTAGATCTTGGACTCCTTTTTTCAAAAGCACAGGAACTGACACATAAATAATATCACTGATTCATGCAAGGCAATTTTAATATACTGATACTTGCTCAAGTGTATGATCCATGTATTTTTCCACCAGAAATAATTGGTTCCATTAAAATATCTCTATCTGTGATTCTCTATGAAGTGAAAATAAGAGCCAAAGCCTGATTTAAATGTTTTGGGGTTTTTTTTAAGGGTGAACAGAAACAGTCTCTTCACTTCTTAAAAATAAGTAACTTAATCTTCTTTAATCCTAAAAATATACCTTTAGAGATATACATCTTTATTACTCCTAGAATTAGTGAGTTATAGTGTGGCAACATTTGCCTGGCCTAGCACTCCATTAAGGCATTGTTCATGTGCAAGACCCAGACACTCATACATACATTTTTTAACTGACTTAACACATTCATATTCATTAAAATCCTTTTCCAAATGACAAAACCAAAAACATTCTTTAACAAAGTTAGTAAACACAAAATATTTCCCAAATAGATTGAATGAAATGCAATGAACTAGCACCTAAGTAATACATTATCTGTTCTGGTATTAGATCACTGTTTCACAACTCAATCACCAAAGAACTCTTTCAAGTTCAAACTCAACAATGCTTATGAAGAATAGCAAAATCTTCAAAAGCTTAAGACTAATTAATAGTATGAATGACTGTGACAGAGGCAGATAAAATACCAACAACCACAATTAGTAGGATCAAACATTGCGTGATGAATAGTTTCTTTTTGTACGGATGCTACCTGAAAAGTGGACAAATATTTATATATTAATAGAATGTATATGTTTCATATATTTATGAGAAGTTGCAAAAAATATAAAAAAAAATGAAACTGTACCAGCAATAGTATTTCACATCCATTTTCCAGGAATATAAATGAACCATATAATGCTCAATTGTAATACAGATTGTTAAGATTATTAATCATATTTAACACTGGAGTTCTACATACTATTAAATGGAAATTTATATTGAAATCAATAGCAAAATTCCCACTGATTTAATAGACCCAAGATCTAACTATTGGCAACAACACAAATTAATTTATGGTTTATATTCATAACAATTACATTTCATAGAGCACAAGGGATAAACACTACCAGTTTAATCATGATCCATGTTAAAAGAAAAAAATATATGTGTCAGCATATTCCTGAATGAGATCAGAATATGGACTACATGGTTTGGAAAATTTCTTTTTCCAAATCTAGACATGGTCTGGGGTCATAATTTTGTCCTGGGAAATGTCATATATAATGAACAAATTCCCACAAGCATATCTATTCAAAAAAATCCAAAGCAATAATAATATGAAAGTCTCCTACTGGTACATCAGGGAAAACATTTACTTTCAATACCATTATTTATTTGCTTTGTTCCATTCTCATTTAGGTTCTGCACATTTCAGCAAAAGAGGTCCTTGACTGGTAGTTGTTTTGAACTTTTCTGTTCTTGAAACGCTAGTGGAGTGTTTATTGGGATTTTAGAGAAGCTGTTCATAATGCTGCGCATAGTTGGAAGCTGACCCGTATTTGTTTGCATCTGAAGCTGTGACCCAAGAGCACAGAACATGGGGGCAAGGGTGGAAGGGGAAAGAAAACATTTCCAGGAATGACAATTCTGAAAGATATGATATGAAATACTGAGTTCTTTGGGCAGCCTTTTTAGGCAAGGACTTCTTACAGTTGCTGGTTCTCTGGATGTTGGGGGTAAAGTCTGCCACTATCCACAAAATATATATATATATATAAAAGCTATGAGCTTTTTCTTACAGGAAGAAAATTCCCTAGTACCATAAAAAGGGATCTCTTCATTCCATAGAGATCAGTACCTCACAGGAGGCTAGAATTAAGGCAAAGACAGGCCTTTGTACACAGAGAGTGGCTCTATGTTTTCCCACTTCTAAATTATAATGACTCATTTTAAACAAAGCCCTGCACCTGTAATTTCTTATCGGAGTGGGGGCTTCTGCTTGAACTAGCAAGACTTTCAGTAATAAGATCTGCTTGCTAGGAATAGGGCTCAAGAAAGTTTTATGTATTCAACATATATATGTATTTGCACACACACACACATGAAATTATGCACACACAAATACTCACACACACAAATTCATAAATAGATGTCTATATATGTACATATGCGAAGAGACAATATTGAAAATCATATTAGACTTGGAGTATTACCCGCTTGTCAGAACTATTTAAACTACTATCTACACAGTACATATTGAAACTCAACTTTAAGATTTTTTATTTTTATGTACAGTTCATTTTTTTCCCTCTGGAAATAAAATATCTAAATACAGACAGACTGTAATGTTGTATATGTATAGCTTTCAACAATACTTTAGCTGAATAAATGCTTTGTACATAGTTCTGTCTTTTAATGGAGTTTACAGCTACATTGATAAAATGGATTCCTCATTTCCTTGATTGTTTTAAACAATAACAAGCAGAGAGACAATTACAAGTTAATATTAATAAGCAGCTCAAATAACACTGGTTAAATTATGTACAATACAAACCATTCATACAAATGAAGACTAGGATATTGAATTTGTTACAATATTTTGTAATAAAGATAAGACAGCCACTTATAACTTACATGTTCTCCGCCAGGCATTTTCCTTCTTAGAGATCAATTCCAGTTTTTAAGTAGTTTAGCTGGCCTAAACTCAAACAAGTTTAAAGAATCAGAGCTTAAAGAGTCAGAGAAACATTAAACCAAAATGTCTGCTCACATGTAAATTTCAAATGTTTGCCCATCTTTACTAGAAACAGGCTTGCTCCATGGAAAAAGAGCCACCAACACCACCTTGAATGTGCCTGCTGTGTGCTGGGAAAAGTCATGACACTTTGCTGTGTTCGTATAATATGGAATACTGAACCCTAAACACACTTTTTCCCATTTTAACAAGTATTTATTCCTACAGTATTATTTACCAGTACAGCTGCTCCAAGCAGTAGAACGCATGAGTGGGGATTATTGATTGGCATGTACTCAAAGGAGTTTCAAGGAGATTTCCATAACAGTCTGCCTTAGAAACCTTGTACTGTCTAGTTAATCCATTTTGCTTGATGATAGGTTATGCTGAATCCTTAGGTATCAGACAATGAAAGATTTCTTAACAGGAATCTCAATAATGTGCGCTGAAAAGTGTGTGCGTCTCTGTGTATGTGTATGGTTTTATTTCAAATCCATAGTGATTTACACCTAGATGGATACATGGAGCTGACTGGGCAAAAATTACATTAGATTGTTTTCCACTAACATATTTGCAGCCATTTGACATCAGCAGCAGCAGGTAGACACATTCCAGGCAATAGATGTGGCCTTCCTCCTTGAGGTTACAGCCCTGTTATTCGACCTCTTTTATTCCCCAGGCTTCAGTCTCAGACACAAGTTGGTCCTCACCCTGAAGGGAAGTAGGGTGTGTCACTGTGGTAGTTGTAATCAGGACACACCTTCTGTACTAGTTTATAATCTGTACTATAAAAGGAAATGTAAATACAGATTACTTTAAAGGGCTTGGAGCAGAGCCATGACACATGGCTCTGGGTCTGCTCCTGATAACAGGTTTTTGAAGGGTCATAGTTGCAGAGAGTATTCTTGGTAGCCTTGTCAACCTTTTCGTACTCGATTCGACAGTTAAAGGACTTGGAATCTTTGGCATCAATCACTGTCTGTTGTGCCAAGTCAAATTCCACTATTTTTGTAGGGGGCACTAGGCTCACAGATACATTTCCTTGACCAGTGGAGTTATGCCTGAAGTAAACACTAAACGTCCCATTGCCATGGTCAACGATTTTCCCTGTTATTAACAAATTTAGCTTCACAGTCTTGATGTTGGAATGAAAATCTCCCCAGCCAAACATTTTCTTAAATTTCCCAGTCTTGACGATGGGCCGTCTCTTTGCTCTGGGCCGAGGCTCTTGCAGATCTGTGGAGTTCCTCAGCCAGTCCCAGAGATCTTGTTCAGAATAAGTTTCTGGGGCATCGTATCGCAGGTCCAAATCTGTATCATTTTCCTTTCCACGAAAAGTCTGTGACAGCAGTCGGCTGATGGACAAGTCTTTGCTGCTTTCTGTCCATATGTGCTTTAGTGTGGATTTGGAGCTTCCTGATTTTAGAAGTTCTGTTTTTCCTCCATTTGTTAAATTTGCACAGGTAACCTGAAAGAGAAGGGTAGAAGAAAGAAACAATATATTTAGATATGTGACACAAACCCCACCATTTACACCTGGGACCAAAATAACCAGATTTTTTAATCACAGAGAAATTTTTTGAGACATTAAATTGTACCTCTCTACTCAGTAAACCAAAAGAGAATTGTCTGTTTTCCGATACTTTCCAAGTAGTTATTACTCAATTCTCCTTTGCCAGTTTTTTTAATTGGCCTTCAGATTTAATCACAGACATTCACATTATTTGTCTGTTACGATGTCTGTAAGTGATGAGTGTGTAATAAATTACTACAAAACTGAGTTACACAGTCTTGTCATCCTTCAGGCTGTATGTGGCATCTCAGAGTGAAGTGTTCTTGCTTGAATGCTCACTCTGCAAGGTTGCTGTGTCTCCTACCATCAGAGACACATTCATTTACTTTTGCTGCCCCTGGAGTCCACTGTCAGGGTGCTGTCTTGGTGGTGCCAGCCTGACCATGCTTGGAGTCCATGTCATTATGAATCTAATAATAATAATACAATTTCCCTACTCCTTTTATGAATACTCATTGGGCTATGGGTCTATGTTCTTGACTGGGATCTTCAGTCACAACTACAATATAAATAACAGAATAATGAAAATTTTAATGAGTTTTGAGTTGACAGATATACATACAGTGTACTCCACATCATTTAGTGCAAGAGGAATCACAGCCTTTTCTAATAATCCCTTATGGACCTACTACTGGTTTGCCTTGTCTGTATCTAATATGACAAGCATTTCTCCTTTCTCACATCACTTCTTTTTTCACCATTTCCTGCCCAAATTAAATAGTGAACTGCGTAAGACAGAAAGTCTTTTGTATAGTTACCAAAAAAAAAAAAGGCAAAAATTTTAAGGCAGTAATAACCAAGTTCCTACAGAATCATATATTTCAGACATAGTTTTTCGCTAAATTTACTGTCAGAACAATTTGTCTTATTTATATTTTTTTCTCTTTGCTTTAATTGAGTGGAAAACAGAGAACAGATGCAGGCTTGCAGCTGTCTAACATGCAGCACTGGCAGAGAGCTCTGACAGAGTGTACCTGGGAGGGCTGGAATTTGTGCAGGGTGGATGGAAAGGGACTGACAACATATATAGTCCCATTCCCCCTAAAATTTGCACCACACACACTGTCCAATTTTTTAACATTTGCACTGCCTTGAAGAGGCCATCAAGTTTCTTATTTGCCTTTTCATGGCTACATATGAGATTCCAAATACACCTGTTTTATTCGTCTGTGTTCTGGCACTGATTTATGTGCTTCCATCATGCTTGCAGTTATATCTTTCTCTTCACTTAAAAATGAATTTAGTGCATTCCATACCTAGGAAACCTATTGGAAACCAGAAAGTATTTAAATCATGTCCCCTCCCTACTCGTACAACTGGAGGTATATGTCACAGAGAATATCTATCACAGCATGGCCTTTTCATTTCTTAACAATCATGAAATTGAAACACAATTTCATTAACTTCAGTAGTTTTCCAAGGTCATTTGAAGACACAGAGATAAAATCAGTCTAAATTGTCTTAATACACTGATCACACAGGAGATATGCCCCCAGCCTTTTACAACAAATAAATAGGAAAATAAATCTGTCACATCCTCCACTATACCTGCCCAATCCATTTCATGTGGGGCCAGTAAGGATAATAGATAAAATATGGATTTAATTCAGGATTTTACCAAAAAGACAACTTCCCCCTCTTTTGAATGGACAGAAGGATTAAAACACAGACTAGCATTTTGATAGCCAGCTCATAGCTGCATCTTAGTAATAACACAGTAGGCCAGGAGAGAGGCAATAATAAAATGCACTGATGGTGCACTGGTTAATGAAGCAGCAATGAAAATGTCACAGGGAGAGAGAAAGAGACTCAGAATATATTTTTTTTTCTATGGCATATGGGGAAGGAGGGCAAAATAAGAAAAGAAATGTGGTTAAAAGGAAAAATGTGCCTGTCTAGAATTAATCTGTCAACCCACAATGAATCTAAGCAGTTAGCTAGCAGAGCTAGTAAACCAGCGATCTGTAGGTAGGATACAGACTGCTTACCACTCTCATTTGCTTTCCTTACAGTTTGTTTTTCCTTCGTTTTCGTCTCTTCGTCTAATGATTTACATTTCATAGGATCAGACTACCAATTCCATGTAACAATATGTAAGAGTTTAAAAACCTTTAACATATGTGTCTCTTTTTTTTCAGTTATGTGAAACCGAAGACTCAGGAAAAGGAGAAAATTTTCTGAAATGATTGATGACTGATCCTATACATGGTTTTTTGAAAGCAAACGTATTTCATGGAAATGGATGATTTAGGCTACATGCATTCTATACTGCTACATATCCAATCTAACAGATACAACTGATTGTTGCTGTCATCGATTTTGTAATACCTGAAAGATTTCTGGCTGTGCAGTTAGCTCTGAGACCTCTGTTTGTAATTTTCAGTGTGGATAACTGGTTGCATTCATGAGTAAAGGCCAGAACCTGTCCTTCCTACTCAAGAGTCCATGTTAGCACTAAAATAACAGCCCACAAGCATTAATGAAAAAAGCTCTAGAATTCATTGTGCTTCACTAAAATTTTCCATCCAACTTCTTTTTCATATACTGCTAGTATACTATACACTATAGAAAGTATCCTCAGAGATTCACACACCCAATAACACAGAGCATTGCTGTGTAATAGAATTTCTGCAAATGCAGCAGTTCTTTCACAGGAACTGATTCCTTTTTCTTCAATCTCTCTTCTTCCCAAACACAATGTTGCAATAATATGAGAGTATGCAAAGGCATGAGGGTTTGCACTTAGTATTGTTAAGCTTAAACATAGACCTATTTTAGGGATTCATGGAAAAAGAACCAATTTAAAGTGGATAATAAAACATGGAGCAGCGTAAATTCTATGGTGGTTTTCCTGTCCTCTTCCTTGAGGATACCTATATATAATTCAGAAACTTGCATACTCTACTTTATCAATTAGTTCACTATAACCAGTTTTACCTCCTTTTCCATAGCCAAGTGTCACTCTTAGATGAAATATTGAAACTTTTGGCCCAGTATTAATGGCTCTGTCTAGGATGGAGTCCATTTACTTCATAGCAACTCATATGGTGCTGTGGTTGAGGCTTTTGACCCAAATGCTGGTAACACACTAATGTTCTAGCTCTAGCTGAACAGTGTAAAGCACCAAGGCCTTCTCTGTTTCTTTCTCAATCTCCTAAGTGAATAGACTAGGGATGTGTACAATGGATTGGGAATGGACACAACAGAGCAGAGAACCTGAATTCACCAGAGATATTCTATAATATCTTAGCAATTAAAAGAGTGAGGATGTAGAGGAGGTATCCATCTTTTCTTGAGGATCTGGTTGTAGGTTGTGTGTTGAGTGTTGCCTTTGTATCTATCACTTGTTCTGGTTTGTTTTCTTCTTCTTCTTCTTCTTCTTCTTCTTCTTCTTCTTCTTCTTCTTCTTCTTCTTCTTCTTCTTCTATTTATCCTTCAGTTAAACTTTTATTTATCTTGACTCCCAAGTTTTCTTGCTTTTATTCTTTTTATTCTTCCATTCCTCTTCCCCATCCCACTGGGGAAAAGGGGAAAGTAAACAAAGAACTGTGAGGTGCTTAGCTTCTCAACAGTGTTAATCCAAAATACCACTGCAGTGTAATAAATCAGTGTTGCAAAAGGGCTGAGTAGGGGGATTTCTTCCACAACTGATAGCCAGAAGTGATTCTGAATGATGAGGATGGCAGAAATGTTTGTATAGAAAAACAGTAAGGAGCAAAAAAATTTAGAAGTGCTTATCTAGTGCTACAAGTGTCACTGGCAAAGAACCTATTAAGTATGGCAGAGTGATATTTGGTTCTGGTCTTGTACTTTTACTGGAAAGTATGTATTTCCACCACCTAATAAAGTCTACTGATACCAAAAAAACACCGGGAGTTTTTACTACTGTCTGGCAACTCTTTTCCAACAGATACTGACAAATTGTTATTCCATTTCTTCTACTTCTTCTTTGAAGAAGGAGGCATTGGTTTCATTGGGCACAATATCAGAAAGCATCATTAAAAAGACACAGAAATTGATCTGCAATTAATTTTTAATCTCTTAAAATACTCCATTCATTTTGTATCCTATGTTTTGAGGGTGATGAATTTGTTTAATATTTAGCTTCATTAAGCATATTTTAATTAATATATGTAGTTCTTTTAGGACTTCCCAAAGGATGAGAAATTTATTTATCTCAGAAATTTTAGAGTTCTCTTTCAAGACACTGAGCCATGAATGCTTTGCCAAGTCAAACCTTAACATTTGCAGCAGAGAAAATGAAGTTAAAAAGGAATTTCAAGAAACCATGAAGGCTTCAAGTGGTGATTTAGGTCCCCTTCTCAGTGTAAAATCAACCACATAATTTAAGACTGATCAGTTTGAGATTTTATAAAAATATTAATTCAAAAAGGTGCAGAATGCATCTTGATTTCTCACTCTTTTCCTTTTGTTCTAACTCTACTACAATTCATTGCCTATAATTACAGTATTGGTTTAGAAATTATGCATTTATTGCTCTGAATATATGACTACTTCAGAGCAAATGAAAATGCAAACAAACAATCTAATACTCAAGGTGGAAAATTCTCTCTCTTCAGGTAAATAACTAATCAAAAACCTGTTTTTATTGGCATAGCACTGTAAGAATTTGGCAGCACTGTGTTTGCGAATGCTCTGTATAATAGAATTCAGAATTTTCTTTCCTCAGTAAGATATCTCAGATACAACAAAGGCAAGAGAGTATTGATGGACATTCCAATAAGTTGGGCCATCATCAAGGCAGGACACCACAGAGAAAGTGGCCACTGAATCCTGTCTCCTTATATTCATCCTGTTTATGCAATGGGTAGAGAGAAAACAAGACCAAGTTTACTCTTCCTTTTAGATCCATTTTTCTTCCTGCAGGCATCTAC